ATATATATATATTAAACAATAAACATAAAAATTAAAGATTAAAGATGAATTTTACATATCTTCTTCGCCGAACTTCAATTGTATAGGAGTCAAACATTTTAATGTTGACCATAAAAATTAAAGATTAAAGATGGATTTTACATATGTTCTTCGCCAAACTTCAATTGTATAGGAGTCAAACATTTTAATGTTGACCATATGATCAAAAATCTTAAACTTGCAACGATAGTTCTACTATCCATATACGACCTGTTCAAATTCCAAACCCTAATCAAAGGCAGTAATTGGAAAATCAGAGTCAAAGTCAAAGTCTAACCATGTGGATGGGGTGTTTATCTTACCCTATAAATTGTAACCTTCTCCGCTTTATGCAAATCATTCATCAAACACTTAAAAGTTTTATCCTTTTATCCCACCATCAACTTTCTTAATTTCTTCATATATTGGTTCTTTTTGTTTGAAAAAAACACAAGAAAATGAGAGCAACAACCCAAAAGTTTGCCGTAATTGCATCGTTAGTTTTATTCTGCATGGCGTTTGAACCGAATGAAGCGTGCAGACTTCTTGATGGAGGATTTGAAGAAACCTGGATGAAGGCAGGAAATCTGTTTTTATCATCTTTACAGAAGGGCTCTGTTCCAACACCAGGGAACGGATGTAGTTCAACGGGAAATGGCGGCGGCTCCTGTATTGGTTCCAAGAAGGTTGCTGGTGGTCATGGTGATGGTGCTCCTCCGCCAACACCATCACCACTGATTCCTTCTCTTACTCATGCATACCCTCAACACTTGGTTGAATTCGGGGTGACTGGTGATGGTAAATGAAGCCCATGCACATTATACATAAATTGTAGGCACTTTTTTCTGTGTTTTTTTGTTTTTTTTCTCAATAAGGCACGAATAAAGATTTCGTGAAAAAAGAGCACAGTACAGGAATGATGTACATAGAAAATGTAGATGACAAAATGTCAAAAACCATACCAAAAGGAATTGTTTATTTGTTTATTTAGAGCTTGTCGGTATTTTTTTTGTATTTTTTTATTTTTTTTTTGTATTCCCTCTTTAGTTTATTCAAGTGAAAATTAATTTTATGCATCTTTATGACAAGGACGAACCGGAATTTCGTAACGGAATTTTAATAAAGTTATATTTGACCGAGTAATGTCCTTCTTGCAGATATATTGTTAAATCATCAACTCTCTTTCCTCGCTTCTCTTTGTATATATGTCAAAACATAATAATGTAAACGCAGGAAATTAATACAAGTTTCTATAATGCATAGTCTTAGAAATCACCAAATCCACCTACGTGGAAATAATAATGATATCTCAATATCAAATTTTTATTTGGATTACCGCTTTAGTTCCATAGATTTACAAACCAATCACTGCCTCGATGCATAATTGAAAATCCGAACTAAGACTGATTTTTTTAGCTTGCCCAATTTATCATACAAATGACTCAATACGTGTATTAATTATCTTAAAAAATGGTTACCGGCTAAAACTAAATAACCCATTAAGCATAGTGGTTGAACTTAAATAGGAAAAATGACATACAAGATAAGAAATGTTGATTTTGATTTTTTTTTTAAATCATATACCATCCGACTTGTTGATCATGTTCATATTTTACTCTTGCGACCTGCTCCTGTAGTAAAAAAGTAATATGTGAACAATTTCAACAAATTAGATAATATATAGTGAACAAAAAAAGGACTAAATGTGAACAAAAAAACCTCCCCCACCACCTCCAAACCACTTCCTCCACCACCACTACCTTCCCCTTCGCCACCCACAACTACTGCCTCCACCACCACCAGCCACCACCACCTCCACTACCACCACGTCTACCGTCATCTCTGCCACTACCTCCACCTCCGCCATTGTCCCTGCCAACACCTTCATCATTACCACCACCTTAGCCATCAAATATATCGCTGCCACCACCAACTTCACCTCCTCCATCGCCATCATCACCAACGTTTGTGAAAGACACGGATGCGATAGTAAAGGTTGTGGTGGAGGTGGTAATAGAGGTGGTGGTGATGGTGGCGGTCAATGGAGGTAAAGGTGGTGGCGGTGGTGAAGGTGGAGCTGGTAGTAGTGGCAGAGGAGGTGGCGGTGGTGGAAGTGGAGGAGATGGTGATGGTGGGTAGCGAAGGCGAAGGCGGTGGTGGAGGGCTGGCGGATGTGTGGGTGGAGGTGGAGGAGGTGGTGGCGGTGGCAGAGGTGGAGATGGTGGTGGTAGTAAAGGTGACGATTGTCACACCTCCGGTCGGCGACGGTTCGTCGGGCTGTGCGATGTTAGAATGTTGGATCACAGACACTGAACTATATAAAACAATGTGTAACATAAATATCACTTCCATTAAATATTAAAATTCACGCCAGGGATTATTTTACTAGAATCTCTATTACAAAAGGGTGCTTTGACCGTTAGGCATAATAATAAACGATAATCAACTTCTAGTGGCTGCTTCGATCAATCGTTGCTTTTGGGCGTATAGACTGTCGTCTCTTGGTTTCTTAGGAATATATATGGTTTTGAAAATGGTCAACATAATGTTAGCTAGTTCATAGGTTTTTGAATATTAAAAATACTTTGCAGTTTTGAAGCAGGATCGTTGTTTATGAATATAGTGACCCATTTTCTTATGTATCCTTATTCATGTGTTTTAGTTGGGTATGAACGACTATACTCCTAACTATTTATTTCTCGTTTTTGTGAAATCTTATTGCATCCTAAAGGTACCCGTATGATGTTATGATCTTATGTATACTAGAGTTGCTAGGATTTTACCTCCCTAACATTTCTTTACTGTTTGAGTACTTGTGTTGTTACTACCTTGAGGTTTTATAGTTTATAAATACTTTTGTTTTCCTTAACTTGCTTCCCTGATTTAGTGTGTAATGTTGCTACTTCTTAGGTTTTACACCACTTAAGTAGGCTTATTAGTTAAGGTTGAACAATGCTACCATGAGTTCCCATAATAGAGCTTATAACATTGAAATTGATAGATTTTATAGGATATAAATACATGTATAATACGGAAAAGCATTTAATGTAACATCCGTCTTCCAAAATGGATCAATTTAGGGCTTAAAAGAGTCAAAAAGCATGGTTTTTGGGAAAAACCGTGTGTCATGACGTGACATGCCAAAAATTAGAACGCGTTCTGGATGAATGCCATGACGTGACATGAGTAAGGTCACGACGTGACATAATCTACAGCCCAAGTCCATGATATTTTAGGGTTTCCTTCATATTTAAACCCCTAATCTCGGATTTAGGGTTTCATTTCCGGCCTCCATCCTCCTCTAGCACCTTGAAGCAAACCCTAATACCTCATTTTCATTTGTGAGCTTTATTCTTGGTGCTTTTGGTTGCTTTTAAAGAAATGAGAAGGATTCGGTAGTGTTGTGTGCATCTTGGCAAGTTTGGGACTTATTTTGGGGCATATCTAGACCTTTGTAAGTGTTTAAGATCCAAACTTTATTGTTCTAGGTTGCTAGATCTAAGTTCTTGTCCATTTATCTTCAAGTTTGAGCAAGTTGGAATGGTGAGATTCTCTCTCTCTCTCTCTCTCTCTCTCTCTCTCTCTCTTTATATATATATATATATATATATATATATATATATATATATATATATATATATAGTTCTGGTAAGAAGGAAATTTTTGATAGGAATGTAAAAAAAAAAATTTTCGACATTTTTTTTGACGAAACAGAAAAATGGATCATTAGATGAATAAAAAATAACATGATTCACAAAAAACAAATCCTGAAAAAAAATCTCAATGATTCATTTTTACAATAATTTTGTTGTTATTCACTAAAATTGTCATAAAAATGAATCTTTGCTTCATTTAGTGAAAAATGAATCATCGTGTTTTTTTGAGAATATTTTCTTATGAATCATCTTACATTTGATTCATCAAATGATTTATTTTGTTGATTCGGTAAAAAATAAGCATATAAATGTTTTTTACCTTCCTACCAAATAATTCATTC